AAGTTCGCTGATTCTGTTCTAAACTTTTTGGATTTCGGTATTCCCATGATGTATCCTTGGAAGGAAAAGATGTATAATAATAAGGTTATTACGAAGATAGCTCAAAGTATGCACTCAGACAGTACGCTGTCGCATCGACTTCCGCTACGCGTCGGTCGATACTGCCGCTGTATGTACTGTCTTCGTGCATACTTTGAGGTATCCTCGTAATAACCTTATATGACTACTGACATATTTTTTGCACAAGTGAATTTTAGACTTTGTAATGAAGTAAGTCGATTTGCATATAAATTAGAAGGTGCAACATTAATAGAGGGCGCTTTTTTATTTTCACAAAACACAGTCATTACACTATGAATAGAATGAGACAGAGCGATTTTTCTGAACAGGCGACCCAAGCAGAACAGATCACACAGTCGTTCAAGATAAAAAGCCTCATCGATCACCAAACCATGCAATTGAGGCATTACTAGCTGAAAAAAAGATGAGTTTGTTGCAACCAGGACAGGGAGTGGCAAATCAGGAAAATGTGCAACAGTTCAACTCTTGAATGATCAGTCAAGTAGAGAGAGTTTGTGAGATTTTCTTTCAGAGTTAACTGTTTTATCATTTTGTAAAAACATGGTCGACATAAATATTGTCGCTTTGCTGACGATGTATGCCACAAACAGCCTGCAACGTTGGCATAGAAACCTAAACACACGGTGACGATGAGAATTTTGAAGTAACCCATCGTCCGAATCGTACGATCCCGTGTCTTCGATCTATATGCCTCCACACGATACCGTGCGGGATCGCATAGGCTAATTGCGTATCTTAAGCAGTCAGATCTGATTGGGCGCGCCTCGAAACAAGGCGCCCAATCAGCTTGGACGTACCAAATTATAAAACAAAATTCCACTTCCTGTTTTTGTCGCTCTGAAGACATCCTTCCCACACAAAACTGTGTCGATTGCCTGTACCTGATGAGGTTTGAGGGCAACTTTCGCAATTTTATCATCACAAATATCACGATTCATGGGCGCCGCTATTTTGTTTAAAATGAAACGCCAAAGAGGGATTTGTAATACGCAAACTGATTGGACAACGATTAGCCGCAACTGACTACTGGGGGCGCTGTTAGAATACGCATATTTGATGGTCGTTCTGCCAAGGTCTGTTTAGAGGCTTTGCCGAATAAACTTAGACCTTGGCTAGCGAAGATGGAAGTAACCGTGCTGCACGTTGTTCTTTAGCTTACCGCGCAATGTTACACGACGTGTGATTGGGCGCCTTTCCAACAGGCGCATCCAATCAAACTTGGCCATTTGCGTAAAATACGCGTTTACCCAGGTTGATCTCGCACGGGTCGGTGGAGTCGGCAATAAATCGGCACCAACAAACCGTGCGATTCGGACGATGACTCTTCCCTGCCGTCTTTGATGATTCGGGCATAGGAAAAAAGCAGGAAAAGTACCATTGTCACTGTGTTTTTTTTAATTTATACTCATATCTACATATCAGTTTACTGAACCTGTCGCGAAGAGCATATAGGGGATTTTCCGTACAATTGCGAGATCTCGCGAGATGTATGAAAAACGCGCGTCGAACGTCTGCCGCAAAAATCGAACGATTTGATTTTAAACTAGAATTTCTTTATTTCGTAACTCACATCGACCGGCCGATCTTCGACAGAGGAATATTGCTTCCGAATACCCTTACTTAATCAAAATTGTCTATCATCAAATGTGGACAGCACATTATTAAGCATGGAAATGTCCCCGAAATACTTTCGCGTTTGTCGAATCCCACGCGATGTTTGACGCCACTACGACGCTATGACCTTTGTTTGTCCTGTTTTTACGTTCGATTTCACGCATAACGCGTGATTCTCGCAGTGAACGGAAAATGGTCTATTACAAACATATAGTAGTTCTTATTATTAACAGTAGTAATTTGTTCATTCTGCGTTATTTTAACCACAGGAAGGTTTTGCAATGAAGTCGACAACAACAACAACTACGTCAACCACAACCTTCATCATACCTTGACCCTTATCATTCAAGGATAACACCGACAAGGTAATAAAAATCTACTTACGATCCTGGTGGCGCGAGACAGAACGTTACTCTGACGTCACAGGAACCCCCAAACGGGTCGCAATTACCACCACCAGATATCTGCCTTTGTGAGTTGGCATAGTGATCCAATCGTAGCATCACGATGGTGTCACCTCTCACAGGAAGCAAACATTGTAGCTATATAAAAACAGAAAGAAAAAAATAAATATATTCACCCACACATTTTTTCACACTTACTGTGTGGCCACTTCAGTACTGTTGATTTCTTAAAGAGCGGTGGTCGTCGCGCAGCGCTTGTTCGAATGTCACAAACAGTGTATTTTACACGCGTTGTATACGTCGCTATGACGCGGCACGACGACCACCGCCCTTTATTTGAAAGGACGTGTCTCAACGAAACGAAAAGTTGCTCACTGACTTTAGATAAGAAGTCATTGCCGTAAACGGTGGACTTGTTCCTTTTCTCTTGAAGCAGATCAGGTGTCTACCATTTAAAATTGAGGGGGGTATTTTCATATGCACATGTACGCAAAACATTACTTTTACACTTTCTTACTCAATACACGGGTACATGAATTTCCGTACTTGAATCAACCAACTAACTATATATTTGTTAACAAATGACTCTTCGACGTCCCCCCCCCCCGTGTACTTCAACATGTAGACCCTTATATGCTTCATGGTGGAATTTCATTCACTATTTACGGCAAATAATTAGACGAGCTGTTGTCTATTATCTTGAAACATTGTCAAATCTACGCATGCCTGTCTGCGCATGCGAGTTCCCATGGTCACGTTCTGAAGCCATGGTGACAGGCCAATCAGTGATGACAGAATTCTGTGTCGTCTAACATATTTGCGTTAGCGATACACCAGCCCCGGCGTTTTTGAGTACACTGGGAATGATACTCTGAATGACTAGATTCCAGGCTAGGCAATTATTTGCTGAATTTGCTTTCCAAATTTAATGTTTTGCTTACTATTTACCTATCCCCGTTGTGTCATTCCCATACCACCTGCAAATCGCATTAGAACATCTTACCACCAAGTAAACTCATTGGAAGTTGGTCATTACTCACATATAATATCCCCAAATGAAATCAAAACTAATAATGAAAAATTTCAATTTATAATGACAATAACAGACAAAACCTCAATTAAGCACGTTGCACAATTTATCTCCATGACATTTCAACAACGAACAAAAAACATGTTATTATTATTATCTACTATGGGGCAATTATTTAAATTCAAACCAAAGGAAAGTATTCATGTTTAATTTTTCCCCACCTAAGTAATAGCCCCGGGGCTTCGTTTCGAGTAATCTCTGTCGAAGCTCGGATTTAAGTTATGAGAGACCGCCTACTCTTACCGTGTAAGCAAACACGTCCGATTGAACTTGATCCAAACAGTTTCGGAGTGGCGCTGTGAATATAATGAGAAATAATTGCTACAACTTACCGTCACGATCCCTGCTATTAAAAATAGATTTGTAGCAGCAGCTGTCGATAACGCCATATTGTGGACGAGACTGATTATCTGCTACCCAGGGTCAAAGTTCAAATTATTACGCGTCCTTCACTCAGATGTATCGACTTTCAATCGCCAAATGACTTCTCACATCGGAATCGCGGAAATGTCGACTTGGAACTGGGCGGCAAATCCTGTTGTTGTTCAAATCCTAGATAGAAGTACAGTTGTAAACAGGTTAACTTTTTCACCACCATTTCCCTGTTTTCATCACAAATTCACAAAATAATCCTGTTTGTAGTCTGCACTTTTCCTCAGACGATTTGTACAAAAATAACCAAATTTTTTGATTAAAAACTGAAAATTGACTCAAATTTTGTCAGTTGGCTCCAAAATCATGGTTCATTTCCAGAAATCTTTCAGAATATTTAAGAAAATGTACAGAAAAATTTGGGCGGGAAAATCTGGTGATGAAAATGTTAATACTCCTTATGTGAATGGATTTTAATTTTGGACTAATGTGTCTTGAATTTTCTTGAAATCAGAACGACAGTTTAATAATTCAACATTGTGCTTAGTTTTTATTTGGCGTAATTTTATTTTTCGCGCCAAAATTTCAGTGCAACATTTTTGAAAGTATTCGTTAATGTTGGATCAATTGGACACAATTGGTCGCCATTTTGGAAAAACAAAATGTAACAAAGTATGCTATTTCGGTTGTGAAATGTGACACAAGCTGACTTTGACGTTCAAAGGGCTTTTAATATAATATTGCGCCGATAGCCTTCTATGGTTGTTAGAATGATGAGCAATGGTTAACAGTTCGTTCATTTCCAAATGTGCATCTCGCGACTACAAGTGTCATAGCATCACGTGGTGTGTTAGATTTAGTACGTCATCAAATCGGCCATTTTGTTCCTGCAAGTTCGTTTCCAATATGTTCATCTAAATAATAGCTGATTTGAAATATCACGAAATTCTGTTATCGCTTGGTTCAAATGAACTTCTGACGCAAAATGGCTGTTAAAATCGCGCTGTGAGCGAGAGGACGGTGAGACTTGTTTTTGCCCTTGAAGTGTTCCTTTTTTTAGCGTCATCGCGACTACTGTTCTAAATGCCACGATTACATAAGCCTAATTGAACCAAACAGCGAGACTGCCTTATTATCATCGCTTGGGACTCAATTCTCGCGCGTGCGCAGGTGACGACCCTTCTAAGCATGTTTTTAGCAATTGCTATAACCTCGGCTCTCTGTCAATAACAAACATAATGTCTCATACAATATTTATTATAAAGTGCGCATGCGTATTACATACACGTGTGTCGTGTGAAACGATTATTTTCACTGACAATTAATTTCACTATTTTGATGTTTTGAGCATATTCACTTGGTTGTAAGTTCACGAACTGTACTTTGAAACAATGAGTTTTATTGTTATATTGCATGTTCACGTGGATTCAATTCAGCGAATTTTACTTATCGGTGAATTTATAAAAAAAAAAAACAGCAAATAAGTAGCTATCGCAATAGTTCAGATGCCGGGTGCAACAAATTATGTACTAAATAAAGGAGGGTACATATTGTTTTACAAATTCCTATAAACATAATCAATAACGACTAGACTCCATACTATGCTTCTTTGGCTAATACAAATCTAACCCATTCAATGATCGTCACGTCTCCGGCCGACAGTGACCCCCCTCCCCGTCCGGGAGTGATGTGTCCTACCTGTATATTATATAATAATCCACAATGACGTCACAGCGATGACAACAGCGCGTTTCCTTACCAGAGTATTACGAGTGATTGAAGCGACTGACTGAACCCGCAGTCGAGGATGGATTACCGTGCTATTAGGGAAGAGTTTACGATGTTTGCATGTACACCCAGGCCCTGTGTCATAGGTGGATCGAATACAATTACAGATATCAATGTTGAAATCATGTATGTTTACATTGTCAGTTGTTATGGCTACCGACCTCTACTAGTCAGAGCTGGCCTTGTCGTTGTTAGTTGTCAAACACCGTGACGATATACCAAGATTGCAGGCAGGTCAATGACTTAGACATTCGAAAATAACGCCCTGAACCTTAACTCAGGGTTTACGTTCACATGAGATGTCATAAGCATCAACTTAGTGCGTGGCACACCCATTTTACCCTCGTACCAATAGGGGGGGGGGGGGTTAATAGAAAAAATGATAGTTAATTTGTTCCCGTTAAAGTAGCAAAATGTTTGAGCTTTCAGAGGTCATGCTCCGATGATGCGGCAGTGTTTCTTTTCAAGTCCGTCAAAAAAGCGAGATTTCCGCAACACGGTGCAGCGCGATTACCCATCATGCACGGTACCTTCGGGAACCGTGAAGACGACTCGGAGCTGTTTCCGATTAATGTTGTACTAGTACGGAGAGGTGTTCGGAATCAGGAAAAAATTGCAATTTCATCCAATTTTAAAACAAAATGTTTGTTTGTGTTTTTTCCCCCAAATCACGGAATTGTTTTATCATTTAGACAAATTAGAACGGCTTTTTTTGTCTCATTAAACTATATTTCTGGATGTTTTCACTTAGAAAATATCCCCTCTTCATTCTCTTCAATAAAAATTGACGTCAGTACCGAATTGCATTTTGGGATATATGTGCATAGATAATAATAGACCCAACTAGCATGGCATACAACTGAGGAGTTCACGAAAGTTGAATATCAACAACATTGTTTTTTAGTTTAGCTTTAAAAAATCACACAATCGTACTTGATAACAACATAGATTACGATATGAACACTACTCTGTTATGACGAGATCATGACGTCATTGTTTATATTCACATTATAATTTTCTATGCAAATGTTCGAGTGACATAGATTAAAGATTAAAGCGAGGTCACCTTTAGTTAAGGTAGATCCCTACCATTAACAAAAAAACATACTAAGAAATCCTCGAAATCAAGCAGGAGAGGTTCGGTTACTGTAATGTTCAAAATTCTGAAAAAAAAAAATGGTCGCCGAAATTATTTTTTTTTCATTGAACGACCTCAAAAAATGATAAAAAATGCATGTTTTGTGTTGTTCACGATTGTTTTCCATGGCAGAAACATTCCATCATATCCCAACATTTGTTATGGTGACTTTTTGACCTTATGCTACAACAATGATATGGCTGTTATGAATATCAGTATAAATAAATTATATATGGATTGGGGTTTTTACATGGATTCCTAGGTTAAATGTTTCAAAATGGCCGCTTTTGGGATGATTTTGCATGTTTTTCTTGAAAACACACTCCTCTTTCCCCGTAAAAACTTTAAATATGAATAATTTTCATGTACATGTTTTGAATGATTTACTGTGATCATTTTTTTAGTGGTAGCGATCTATTTTAAATGTTATTGTGTGACTGACCATTCAAGGCCGTTCTCGGTTATTCAATGTCATTCACGAGGCTAATAGAACTTCTCTCGTTTCAGTTTGAATTATGAAATTTATAAATATTCATCAAAATTACTTGGTTTGTAGTGTCGATAATAATTAAATATCTTAAAGCGAAAGGGTCGTCACCTGCGCACGCGCGGCAATTGAGTCCCAAGCGACGATAACAACACAAGCTAAAAACGCATGGGTAGACGCTTGTTTGTAAACAATGACGCATGCGTAGGTGACGACTCCCACGCTTTAAATTAAAGTTAATAAGCTTGCACCTAAAAAAGTTGAGCGCATCGCGTCGTTAGTGACACGTGTCCATAACAAAAACAAATATCGTAAGTAGTTTTTTTTCAATAAAAAACAGTGTTATTCTAAACACGATGACATTGACACCAAAACTGGACGCGTGTAAAGTCAACATAAATAAAGTTAGACAAGGTCAATAGGTCAGGAAATATGAAACGTTAGAATGTCGTCTGCGCATTCAATGAGTCAGTGCAATCTATCCGACAGAGATTTGTAGCACGCTAGTAATTCAGCCACCAACAAGAAAACTGGTGATGGTTATAGAACCATAACTGCCTCAGCTCAAAGATTGTTATGTAATACAGGGGAATGTGAAGG